CTGTATCTCTCTTTCACCCTCCCCATCTCTCCCTCTCTCTCTATTTCTCCCCCTCTCTCTTTTTATCCCCCCCTCTCCCTCCTCCTCCCTTTTCTCTCTCTATTCCATTCCTTCTCTTTTTCTCTCCCGCCCCGCCCCCTCTCTGGCCACACCCTTCATGTTTTTCATGTCACGCCCTTGGTACTAAAGCTTTTGGACACGTTTTTGGTAACACAGAATTTCCGAGCACATATTTCATAGGCTCAGATGTTATATTTATTATTTTTGCATAATTGTTTTTAGTCATGATAAAGCGTTTTGCGGTAACAGTTCAAGATACGTCTTGAGGCACTTTCGCTTATGGTACATGTTTACTGAAATTTTAGCTAGATCTATTCATAATATATAGGTACAGGCATTTTAGCGTATTATGATATGAATTTACTAAATGTGTAAGCTATCCATATGGTTACAGGCACTTGAGCGTATGGGATACATTTATTAAAGCGTAAGCTATTTATGTGGGTACAGGCACTTTCGCTTATAGTATAAACTTATATACAAAAGGATACGCTAATCATAATAATATGGATATAGGCACTCTCGCTTATAGTATAACTTTACTAAACCGAATCTGGGTACAGGCATCTAAGCTTATAGAATAAATTTTCTATAGTGTAAGCCACCCATACGAGTGCAGGCAATAGCTTCCAGGGACACGTGCACCACTCTCAGCTCGTTTACTCTACAGGGGACAGCAGGGTATACACTTCATCTCTCGTACTGTACACATTTCCGGCGCAGGTTTCTGATACCGCACGCACCATTATAATGAGCGTCCATATGGCGTGGACTGAAATGGATCCTGTTGATAAACAGTGCGCCGAGGGAACTCAACAACACCGGGGGAGGGGGGGGGGGGGGTTGGATGAAACCAAACCAGAGTTGATGACGTGTAAAAGCAAACATAATTTAAGTTACACAGTACTTGACTTCTCACTAGGGGTCTGAAATAGCGACCAGGTACCTGGATATCTTTTTAATGACCACTTTCTGGGTAATGCTCTGTTGATTAAGAAAAAAAGCCTCCATTGTGTTAGGCTGAAGACGAAGCAGCGTTTCGGCATAGCAGGCTTCCTTTATGCTGAAAAAATGTTATATTTTGCGCTGGCGACTGACTCGTCGAAGGCAAATTTATAGTAAAAGCTTTTAGTTCCGTATGACCTCTTTTAGTAACAGGAGGAAGGCACCTTGAGCTGAGGGACTGAGATGAGACGGGTGTTGAACCGATGCGAGGTAGGCCTACACTGTACCAGTAAAACCCCTTAACAGCTGGAGCAAAGACTCCGTGTTTGAGTTTTCTCTTTGGGGTAAAAAAGTAAAGGTGCCGCCCAAGCTATCGAGTTCAGTAAAGGCCACGAGATTACCGACTGTTTTTGTCAGAATGTGGATCTTATTTTAAGACACTGAGGATGACAACGACTCTTCAATGAACTCAGAAATGTAACACTATACTATCGGTCCTGAGCTCTGGTAAAGAGGAAAGATAAGGTTGGAGTGGGAGGGTGTTTAGTGGTGTCATTCTTCTTCTTTGAAAAATTAATTGCACTAAGGTATACCTAACTTGTTATAGTTCATTAAGAGCCGACTCACTCATTGCTCACATTTTGCGGTGGGCATAACAAGAATAAGAATAAATAACCACTTTTTCTTAAGGCATAACAGTAGGCCTCACTGACTTCAAGAAAATATTGTAGTTTGGTTGAGGAATTTTTCAATATCCAATCAAAATTAGACTCAAAGCTTTAAGGAATAAGTCTGACAAAGTGTAAAGCGGAAATCATCTTTGAGTAATATAAACGTTTAAAAAAATCTACCTGGAAAGAAGCGTAGACTTAGTTGCTAGGAACCAGAAAAACAAATCGGGGGGAGATGGAAACAGGAAGAGGCGTACCTTGCTCAAGAAAAGAATGATTAGAGGGCGATGAGAGTACAAGACTTAGTGTAGAGAGCAGGCGAGAGAGTGAGGGGGGAGTGAGGGAAAGGTGAGGGGAGGATGACGGAACAGTGTTATTGCTCGTCAATCAAATAAGGAATTTCTCACTGTGTCAGGCACAGCAAATGCCTCTAGCATTCAAGGATGAACACTGTCTTTCCCAGTACAATGCAAATTGTAGCATATTTCATTTGTGCTTATCGTGCAAACGTCTGGTTGAGCTCGGTGCAGTTTGCTCACTGGACAGAAGATTCCAAGCACTTTAGATTCTTATTCAACCAGTCGTGTTTGCGTTATCGTGTTCTGGGCACAAAAGGTGGTCTCTTTTCAAATGGAACAGAGTAGCTGCAAACTTTTAGCTTCCCTCGAAATAGTCTCATGGATGGTTGGTCGAGAACAATAAGCAAACATTTGACGAGTTCAAATGAACTCTTTGTTGTTGATATGAGCAAGATAATCAAGTGCTTGAGGACATCATCATCATCATCATCATCATCATCATCATCATCATCATCATCATCATCA